GCAAGGTGGTGTTAATAAACACCCCCTGCCCGGCGCGTCCCCGGACGGTATCCGGCCCGGGAGGCAGAGACTGCGCCGCCACCGCCGCGCCGCCACCGCCCCCCTCGTGTCCAGACTGCTGCCCGCTCCGCCCGCCCCCTGCCCGGCGCCAATCTTCACGTCTCCGGGTCCTGGGAAGCCCGCACAAAGTGTGCCCCGGCGGCGCATGGGCCGGCCCCCGGGCGTGTCAGTTACACATGCCCGCCAGCCGACCGTGCATACCCGCGCACAACACTACCGCTGTGGTCGTCCCCGCACACGGGTCCTGCCCCCCGGCCGGAGACGGCGGGCGAATTTCGGAATGGAGCCGGGCCACTTGCATGGCGCCGGCGCCCAGGATGCCGCCTCGCCCCGGCGGGCTCGTGAACATTCCCCCCCCCCCCCCCGCGGCTCCGGCTCTCACCGCCCGGCCTTTGTGCACCGGCCCGCGGCCGGCGAAAGGGTGCATGCACAGTGGGCCGCCAGTGCGGCTCAACTTGCCCCGGCCGCGGCCTGCCAAGGGGATCACCCCCCCCCCGGGGGGGCCATTTCGGTCCGCGCAGACGCGGCGCACCGACGACGCTCTCGGGGCGCGCAACAAACTTCCCCGACCTCGCTCCCCCCGGGGGCGGGGAGGGGGCGGCGGCACGCGAAGGGACGCTAGGAAGCCAGGGCCGGGAGGGCCGGCAGCAGGGCAGGGGGCGGGGGGGGGGGGGGGGGGGACGGGCCATGTCATCGTCCTTCATGCCGCCCCAGGACGCGCGGCCGGGCCTGCCACGCATCCGGGCGCTCTTGATCCGCTCTCGCCCGACCGGCCCCCCAGCGCAAGGGAGGCTCCCCTACATGGCCCGCCGCCGGCAAGCTGCTTCACTCGAGCAAGAGGGAGGAGAGCATAGCATCCGGGAGAATGGTCACACCTGAGAGCGATGAATTTCCCACACCCCGAGCATGCACCGCATTCCGAGGAGGGGGCTCCAAGCTCGGGTGTTAATACACACCCTTCCCAGGCAGGGGCAGGGACGAGATACAGGGAAAGGACCAACAACCAGCCAACCGGGAGCCGGCTCTCCTCCGGGGCCCGCCGCGTCCGTCAGTCATCGGCACTCGCCCGGGCCGGCTTCCCGAGACGATGGGGGCCTCACCGGGGGGGACGGGGGCGGGGGCGGGGAGAGGCCATAATTAGATCAATGGCCGTTCCCTGGATACGTTGCGGGGCCCTCGCAGCGTGCTCGCGAGCCCCGGGGAAGGCAGCGTGCTCCCGGCCGCGCGTATGGGCACAAGCCCCCCCCCCCCCCGGCGCGCCCCCGAGGCGTGCC